GCTGATCTACCAAAAGTTCCAGAGGAGATTAAAAATATGTTAAACAAAGAGATAACACCTTTGGAACTATTTGAGGCAATCAAGAAACAAAAAAATAATAAAGCCCCAGGTCCGGATGGTTTACCAACAGAAATATACAAAATAATGCAAGAATCTCTAAGTCCAGTGTTAGTTGACCTATTCAACGAGGTTCTGAAGAATGCGAAGATTCCGATCTCATGGGAAGAAGCAACTATCACTTTGATCCCCAAGGACAAGTCAGATTTGGCGTTCATTAAAAATTACAGGCCCATTTCATTATTAAATTCGGACTATAAAATTTTTATGGCCATAATGGCTAAACGTCTTGAAAGATTCTTAGTAAAATTCATACATACGGATCAAAGCGGTTTTCTATCTAAAAGATATATAAGAAACAATATTAGGATCATACTGGACGTATTGGAATATTATGAAGTCCACAATGAAAAACAAATGGGACTAATCTTTCTTGACGCACAAAAGGCATTCGATAATGTGAAATGGGACTTTATGTTTAATCAATTGGAATACATGGACTTTGGGGAGAATTTCATAAACATGTTCAAAGCGATTTATTCCAAACAGGTAGCTAAAGTGACAATTAACGGAGAAACTACTAAAAACTTCCAAATCCAAAAAGGCACAAGGCAAGGTTGCCCGCTATCTCCACTACTGTTTATACTATCCCTGGAGGTACTAAATAGAATAATTCGGAAGGATGAGTATATTAAAGGTTTAGAGATTAAGAGAGAAATTTTTAAACTGCAAGCTTTTGCTGACGATCTTGTTTTCATACTCGAAGAACCTTTACAATCAGGGACAAGGCTAATGGAAGTACTGGGTGAATATGGTGAAATGGCAGGCCTAAAGATAAATAAGGAAAAAACCAAAATGCTTGTGAAGAATATGATTAGATCACAGAAAAACGAATTAGCTGATAAATTAGGTATTCAGATCACAAAGAAAATAAGATACTTAGGGATACATCTAACAGCTAGGTGTATAACAATTAAAAGAGACAATTATGACAAATTAATGGACCAGATTAAAACAGACTTGGACACCTGGACAAATCTCCAGCTTTCTTTCATGGGTAGAATTGCCGTAATTAAAATGAACATATTACCTAAAATATTATTTCTATTTCAATGTATACCAATTAGATTAGAAAAGGAATTCTTTCAAAATTTCAACCAAACCATACTTAAATTCATTTGGCAAGGGAAAAAACCAAGGATTAAATTAAAATTATTACAGGATGCTAAGGAAAGGTGGGGGGGTCTCGGCCTCCCCGATCTGGAAAAATACTATCAATCTACAATTCTACTGTGGGTGCGGGATTGGATTCGATTGGAAAATTGGAGATTATTAAAACTGGAAGGTCATGACATGCAGACTGGATGGCATGCCATGTTATGGGATGAGAAGCATAAAGTTCACCAGTACTTCCGGAGGCACTACATCAGACGGGTGCTAATAGATGTATGGATCAAAATCCGACGACAGAACTATAGGCAAGTCCCCAATTGGATATCAACACTAGAAATGTATATACACCCAAGTGTAAGGACCCACCCCACTTTGCATCTTAAGAAGACAGAACTCCTGGAATATTTCTTCCAACAGGCATCTTTATTAAGAGAAAGCTGGATGCAGGCGTTCTAGACAGGACTTGGGTCCAAGCTCTCCCATTCAAGGTTTTAAGGGATCCCCCATTAGCCACACCCCCGTCACCTCCTTCTCCCAGCGACAATCCCAGGCATTACATTCTCACCCCCTTTTCCTCATTGCCGGGAGGAGACTTCCAAAAGGATTACATGAAAGCTAATGACCCTCATTGTTATTGTTAGTCCGTTTGGTGATATCCACATCCAGTCCCTTTGAAGTAGGTTGAAGGAAGTGAGGGCCATAAAGCCCCTTTGTTCACCCCCTTCCCTTCATCGTATGACAGAATCCAGAGCAGGCAGAAATGCGGGTTTTCATAGTTGATAAGGTTCATTCAGTTGGGGAAAGTAATAACCTATAAAAACATACTAGAGCAGTGGTTCTCAACCTTTTTAATGCCGCGACCCCAACCGGTCGTAAGTCGAGGACTAAGACTAAACCGGTCGTACGTCGAGGACTAAACCGGTCGTAAGTCAAGGACTACCCAACCAGTCATAAGTCGAGGACTTTCCCTGCCCGGGAGCATCGCGCATGCGTGGTTCCGCCCCCTGCGCCAGCCGAGGCGTAGCTGGCAAGCAGCAGAGACGGAGCAGGCCGACCACCAGCTGGCCCAGCCCAAGGGAGGTAAGGCACCCGCCGGAAAAGGGAGAAAAAATGGCGGACAAAAAAAATGGCGGACAGCCTTGCTTGGCGACCCCCATGAAATGGTCGATCGACCCCAAATGGGGTCCCGACCCACAGGTTGAGAACCACTGTACTAGAGAGAGGAGAATTAAAATCGAGGAAGAATCTCCAAGATGCAGGGATAGAATTAGAATGGTGGGCATACCTCCAACTACAAGCAAGATATAGGCAAGATAAAAAAGAGTGGGGTATAAAGATAGAATCAACAGAACTAGATAAAGTTTTATTAGGTCCCGAGGATAAAATGATTAAAAAAATATATCATTTTCTTTTAGATCAGACAATGTATGAAGAACAGGTTAAGGAGACCATGTTAACTTGGAGTAGGGATTTTGGTTTCAGTATCGACCTGCATATTTGGCAAGAACTGTGGGAAAGAAATAGGAAACTCAGCTACCTCATATAAGGAAAGTCTTTACAAGATGTTTTATAGATGGCATTTCCCACCCGTAAGGTTAGCCAAGATGGGTTCAAACATCTCACCCCTATGCTGGAAATGTAAAACAGCAATAGGATCATATTACCATATGTGGTGGGAATGCCCAAAGACTCGCGAGTACTGGAACAGGACACGAAACTGGTTGAGGGATGTATTAACACTGGACTTAGAGTTAAAACCTGAACTCTTCTTGTTGGGAATAACGACAGAAAAATATGACAAGGGAACAATCTTCCTGCTGCTACACATCCTGACTGCAGCTAGGGTTGCTTTTGCGCAAAAATGGAAGAGCAAGGAAATTCCCACAGAGGAAGAGTTAATACATAAAATATTAGCATGTGCGGAAATGGACAGGCTCACAATGATATTAAAAGACAAATGTGGATCAGTTTATTTTGAAACCTGGGATAAATTTTATAGCTGGAGGAATTCGAAGAGGACGGTTGGGATTAAAGATGAATGTTAAGATAGAAATATATGTTATTTTAGAATAAGTATTGTATATAAAACTTAGATGTATATGTAGAGATGAAGAATTGATTGTAAAATGTGGAATAATCTGATAAGAATGTATATACTGGAATGTCACGTTAAATCCAATGTTTTTTTAATTGTATTATAAATAAAAAAATTTTTTTAAAAGTCATAAAATGGAGCAAAGCTCACTTAACAACTGTCTCACTTAGCAACAGAAATTTGGGGCTCAATTGTGGTTCTAAGGACTACCTGTACTGTATTGTGGAATACAGTTTCTTGAGTATCAAAGGAACAAATGGAATACAGGTGGTCCTTAAGTTATGACTGCAATGGAGCCCTCCCCATTTATGGTCATAAGTTGTAAGGGTTGTAAAATGGGTCGGTCTCAGAACCAATCCAATTTTGGGCTTTTTTGCAGCAGTCAGTGAGCAAAGGTGACCTTTGTTAAGGGCAAACACTGTGGCCGTTAAGTGAAAGCTGCAGTCGTTAAACAATAGTTCACCATGGTGCGGTTTTGCCAAAAAAGCAGAAATGCTGGTGTTTTTATGATTCAGCCGGTCCGCACCCGTTCAGCAGAACCGATACCTAATTTTTTGTTAAGTTCGGCAAACCGGTTATGATAAATCTCCAAATCATGTCTGGTTTTCGTTCAACTTCCTTCCAGGTGGGGGGAAAAATACCCTCCCAAAAAGTCCAAGGGAGGAGCGACAGAAACCAAATGGAGACGCGGTGCCTTTGATCGTGTCACTCAGGTGAAAATTAGGTGGTGCTTCTCAGAGGTAATTTCAGGAATAAACGCTTCACCTCTCTAGTTTCCCAATTGGTGCATCTGGGAAAGGGAGCGAGGCCACAAGTACTACCTTTCGGTATGTCATTTTTTTATACTTAAAACGGTCATTAGGGCAGAGAACTGGTTGTTAAATTATTTGAATCCCACCCCTGAGTTACATGATTGCTGGACACTGCAAATGGCTGTAAATGTGGCCATGTTATCCAGCCCCTGAAGCCCAGTCATGAGGCCACGAAGGAGGGGGTAGTATTGGAACTTTGAATCCGAGTCATAAGTACCCATAAAATAAATAGAAATAATAGAACTAGAACTAGAACTAGAAAAAGAACTAGAACTAGAACTAGAACTAGAAAAAGAACTAGAACTAGAAAAAGAAATAGAAAAAGAAATAGAACAGAACAGAACAGAACAACAGAGTTGGAAGGGACTTTGGAAGTCTTCTAGTAGAGATAGAGGCAGGTTGTATTTTTTGAACTAAGCTACCAGTCAGAAGTCAAGGAGTTCCTGTAGTGACATAATCTGTAATGAATGAAGCAAACACCCTTGTTCCCTCATCAGCATGCCATTTGCCAAATTTTAAAAGTTTCATTTATCTTTTTATTATCTTTTTCAGTTCTCTAGAGATGGGGTGAAGAATTGCTGCCCTGCAGAATGAAGGTGGGTTGACTCTTCATCCAATAATATTTATCTGAGCCTTGAGATAAATCATTATTTATCTCAGCCTTGAGATAAATCATTTTTATTTATCTCAGCCTTGAGATAAATCATTTTTATTTATCTCAGCCTTGAGATAAATTGCAGAGAAGAGCAGGGAAGCTCTTATAGTTTGCCAGCAAAAGAAAATTTAAGAATTAGAAAAAAATAAACAAATCACCCTCTGAAGAGCATCAGAGAGAGAATAATTGGAAAAGGATGGTTTCAAACCTTCAATATTAAAGATCTTATCCTCCAGCTGTTTCTGAAGCTGATCAAGTGTGTCAAAACTTTCCACGTGGAAGACATTTTCATTTGATGAAGCAATTCTACGCAGCTCATCTTGAGCCGTCAAGAAATTCTGACCCACCAGATGGATACAAGAGGGAGGGAGGGAGAGGGATACTGTCAATGCTGTTAATATAGGATATTATTGCTTTGACAAAATATACAGAACTGTCTGGTATTTTTAGAGTTAATTCAGATGACAGAGAAAGGGAGGAGAATTATAAGGAAAGCCCAGGAAAAGGAACGGAAGTGAATCTTTGCCCTCCGGGCTAATTGGAAGATGTGACTTATGACTGCAGAATAAGGGAGGGGTTTAGCAAGAAAAGTTAGATGCAAGCAAGAGAAATTCAGATTCTGGCATCCATCTATCTGAAGTGCCGTCAATCTGTTACACTGTTAATAAAGGCTTTTAGGGTAAACATTGCCTGGAAGTTCTTTGAAGTGTTTCATTAGTCGGAACCATGACATCATGCCAGAATCAAAAACCTTTTCAAACAACTGGGGATGCATTATCCCCACCTCTTTCTCCTAGGCTGGAGTGAGAGTAACAGAGTTCAGGAGGAGGACAATCTATCATGATAAACGGGAGTTTGTTGAATACAGCCCGGCAGCTGCTGATATCCCAGAGGGGGAAGTAACAGACAGCATGCTGTGGGAAGATGGATTTTGGCAGACAAATGCAGGTCGGTGGATGGAGAATGGACAAACTGCCACTCAAAGCCTGGGTGAGTTACTGGAAATATTTCAAACCCCAGAGGAGAGAGACAGAAATCCACTCCTGCTGAGGGAAGCTTGCAGCCCCTCTATTGTAAATCAGAAAGCCTTTCAGACCCTGTCTTCCCCTGCCAGGGACTCCAGCCCTGAAGAGAGAGGGAATCCCAGTCTGAGGCCTCTGCAGCAATGGGGAGACTGGCAAACCCAGCAGGCAGATGTTCCACTACCTCTAAACTTGCCACAGCTAATAGAGACCTTGCAACAGCCTGGGGTGGTACAGAAGCCAGGAGATGAGCAGCTGGGGGGAGAACGGCCACAGCAAGGAGATTGGCCACAGCGCCCAAACATGCAACCCCTGGGCATAAATCTGCAGCCAGGATGGGGCCAGCAGCAACAGCCACTGTGGGGGCCCCAACAGCCTATAATTGCACCACTTTTCAGAGCAACCTTCGATGGGGACCCAGAGAAGCTGGTTTTTTTCCTCAATCAAGTGCGTTCTCATTTGAATTGCTGGGGCTATCTCTACCCAGACCCGGGGGCCATGGTGGATGTGATTGCATCCAGTCTAGAGGGAGAAGCGTCCGAATGGCTGAACAATTTATACAATGAGCAAGCCCCCGAATTGGAGGACCCCCACCTCTTCCTCCTAGGGCTGAGAGAAAGATTTGAGGACCCATCTATTGGTCTTAAAGCAAGAGAACAAATCCACAAAATAAAACAAGCCGGCAGGCCTGCCCTGGAGTACGTGCGAGAGTTTCGCAAGATAGCAGGTCAAATAGAGAGGTGGCCAGAGCAGTCCCTAATCCATCACTTCATTGAGGGATTAGACGATCACCTCTCTCAGGCCTGCATCTATTGAGCAGTACCTGATCAGCTGCGAGAATGGTACCAGGCAGTGGTGAAGCTAGATGTTCAGCTTGCCCGGTATAAGAAGCCTCCCCCACCTGAATCTGAGCAGCAGCCAGAGCAACCCGAACAACAATCACCCCCACGAAACCCTCTGACTACTGCAATGGCTGAAAGACCCAGGCCACCTGCAGGCCCGTCAATTAAGTGTTTCCAGTGCAGACAGAAGGGACATCGAGCAGCAAACTGTCCGGTCCCCTACCCCCAACTGCAGAGCAGACCGGAACCAGCGACGAGAAGGAAACCTGCCCAAGGGCTAATGAGAGAAAAATCCAACCAGGTCACGCAAGAACCTGTTGCCCAGATTACACCCCCCACACAAGAGGACGCCGGGACTCCAGGTGGACCCGCCCCTGCTCTACCCTTTGACAGCAACGATGAAGGAGAGAATGACCCTATGGTGAGTCGACAAATCCCGCCTTTTTCACTGGCCGCCAAACTTATAATCCCTAAGTCTGGGGCACAAATGGACTTAAACGTGCTAATTGATTCTGGATGCACCTGCTGCATTATTAGTCTGCCGTTTGCCATGAAAATGGGCATACGGGCAAAACAGCTTTCCAAACCTGTGAGGTTTGAGCAAGCCGATGGCTCCCTGATGGGAGGGACACTTGTCACACAATTAACTGAGCCCTTACGCCTAGAAATAGGTGCGCACTGGGAGTTTATTCGCTTCCTAGTGGCTCCAAAAATGACTGAGACTGTGATCCTAGGGCTAGCCTGGTTGGACAAATGGAAGCCGTTTATCTGGTGGCAGAAAGGAATGAGAACTGTGAGACTACCTATAGGACCTAAACCTCCCGCTGATTCAACCAATGTTGCGGGACACCTTAGGCCACCCAATGAGCGAGCGCACATGGCTGCCTCACTGCCGCCAGGTGAACCACTCATCCCCAATGAATACCGGGACCTGGCGGAGGCATTTAGTGAAAAAAAATGCGATGCCCTGCCCCCTCACAGACCCAATGACTGCTCCATCGAACTGATGCCAGGAGCCAAACTCCCACGGCCGAGAATGTATGCCATGTTCCCCCTCGAAATGGAGGAGATGCAGCAATACGTGAACAAAAACCTAGCAAGGGGGTTCATTGAACGGGCCAAATCTACCGTGGGAGCCCCTGTGTTGTTCAAGGAAAAAAAAGATGGGTCTCTTCGTCTCTGTGTGGACTATAAGGGTCTCAATGCTGTAAGTGTGGAGAACAAATACCCCCTCCCCCTCCTAAAGGACTTATTAACCCATCTGGCTAAGGGGAGTGTCTTCACTAAATTAGACCTGAGAGAGGCATATTACCGGGTGAGAATAAAAGAGGGAGACGAGTGGAAAACTGCCTTCAACTGTCCTATGGGGAGCTATCAGTTCAAAGTCATGCCATTTGGACTACAGGGGGCCCCAGCTGTATTTATGCAGTTGATTAATGAGGTCCTACATGATCACTTGTACAAAGGGGTTTTGGTGTATCTTGATGATATCCTGATATACAGCACGAATATGACTGATCACATAAAGCTGGTGAGAGAAGTGTTAAAGAAACTATTGAATGCCAAGCTTTACGCCAAATTGTCAAAATGTGAATTTCACCAGACACGATTAGATTATCTTGGCTACAGAATTTCCAACGAGGGTATTGAAATGGATCCAGCCAAGGTGAAAGGTATAATCAAATGGCAGCCCCAAAAACTCGCAAACAGCTCCAGAGCTTTCTGGGTTTTGCCAACTTTTATCGTCAATTCATCCCCTCTTTTGCCGAGATTGCCCTACCCCTTACAGAACTACTCAAAACAGGCAAAGGAGGAGGGAAGTCACGACCGGGCCAACCACTAGCATGGACGATGGGCTGTCAAACAGCTTTTGAGAAGTTAAAGAGACTATTTGCTGCTGAACCGGTCCTAAAGCACCCCTGCCCAGGGGAGCCCTTTGTAATTCAAGCCGATGCTAGCGATGTGGCAGTTGGAGCTGTGTTACTGCAAAAGAACAAAAGTGGGGTCCTGCAACCCTGCGCCTACACCTCTAAGAAATTTACTGAAAGTGAGCGGAGATGGGCAATCTGGGAGAAAGAGGCCTTCGTGATTAGGTGGGCGCTATTAAACTGGTGACACTATCTAGAAGGGAGCAAGGTGCCATTTGAAGTATGAACAGATCACAAAAATCTAGAAGCACTGAAAACTCCCTGCAAATTGTCCCCAAAGCAAGTGCGGTGGGCACAGTACTTTAACCGCTTCAACTTCACTCTAAAGTACATACCAGGAGGAAAAAACTTCCTAGCTGATGCACTATCCCGGCAATTATCCCCAATCCACAAACTGCCGCTCAACTTACGCCTCGCAGGGTCCCCAATCCTGATGACCCTGGGGTAAAGAAAATAAAACAAGAGCTCCTCACCGATCAATGGTTCAAAGATAATCAAACCTCCCTAACGTGCAGGGATGGCTTGGCTTACAAAGGGGGGAAACTATATTTGCCAGAAGTCCTCCATCTTAATGCTCTCAACCAGAGCCATGATGTAAAACAGGCTGGACACTTTGGATATTTGAAAACCCTACACCTCACCCGCCGGCAATTTTGGTGGCCAGGGCTGAAACGGGATGTGGAAAACTATGTAAAAAGTTGTACTGTATGTGCCACAATGAAAAGACTCCCAGGGAAAACCCCCGGGTTGCTGCAGCCGGTGGCAGACCCTTCTCAACCCTGGGAAGAAATAGCCATGGACTTTATAGTAGACCTACCTGAAAGTAGAGGAAATACTGTCATCTGGACTGTGATAGACCTGTTCTCGAAGCAGGCTCATTTCATCGCCTGCAAAGGACTCCCATCTGCCCAACGACTGGCCAAATTGTTCCTGAAACATATCTACCGGCTGCATGGCGCCCCTAAGCGAATAATTTCGGACAGGGAGGTGCAGTTCACAGCGAAGTTTTGGAGGAGTTTTCTTAAATTAATTGGATCATCTCAAGGTTTATCATCTGCTTTTCATCCTGCCACCAATGGGGCTGCAGAATCCGGTAACAAAATGGTGGAGCAATATCTTAGATGCTACATTTCTTACCAGCAGACAAACTGGACTGACCTCCTCCCTTTTGCAGAGGTGGCGTACAATAATTCTGTGCACAGCAGCACCGGCTACACGCCTTTCAGAGTGGCCACAGGAAAAGCGTTCAGCCCAATACCTGAATACCCTCAGGTGCCCTCCGCTTCCCAGACACTTGACCAATGTGTCTGGTGGGAAGAAGTTTGGAGAAACACAAAAACTGCTTTAAAAAAGACTTTTGAAACCTATAAAAAGCAGGCTGATAGAAAGAGGGCTCCCCAAAGAACATTCCAAGTTGGGGAAAAGGTTTATTTGTCAACTAAATATTTACGCCTCAAATTGCCCAGCAAGAAATTGGGACCAAAATTCTTGGGGCCTTTCCCCATAGTAAGGATCATCAATCCGGTCACCGTAGAACTAAAACTCCCTAGACTTTTAGGGAGAATTCACCCAGTCTTCCATTGCAGCTTGTTGAAACCTTATCAGGGCTCCACTTTAAGACCTCCCCCGAAGAAGGCACCTGGGCCCTTCCTAGTTGCGGGACAGCCCCACTATGAAGTGAAACGTATTCTTGACTCTAGAATTTTTAAAGGGAAATTGCAGTACCTAGTACAGTGGAATGGGTACCTGTTGTCTGAAGCCACCTGGGTGAAATCCAGTGAGGTGAAAGCTGACAGGTTCGTCAAAACGTTTCATGCGAAATACCCCAACAAAACAAAAACTAGTCTTTAACATATGCTTTTGTTTACATTACAGGATCTGTCCTTTTTGTAAGGGGGGCCGGATGTCAACGCTGTTAATATAGGATATTATTGCTTTGACAAAATATACAGAACTGTCTGGTATTTTTAGAGTTAATTCAGATGACAGAGAAAGGGAGGAGAATTATAAGGAAAGCCCAGGAAAAGGAACGGAAGTGAATCTTTGCCCTCCGGGCTAATTGGAAGATGTGACTTATGACTGCAAAATAAGGGAGGGGTTTAGCAAGAAAAGTTAGATGCAAGCAAGAGAAATTCAGATTCTGGCATCCATCTATCTGAAGTGCCGTCAATCTGTTACACTGTTAATAAAGGCTTTTAGGGTAGCCTGGAAGTTCTTTGAAGTGTTTCATTAGTCGGAACCATGTTTCATTAGTCGGAACCATGACAGATACACACACTGGATAATACAGGTAGTCCTCGACTTACAACCACAATTGAGCCTCAAATTTCTGTTACTAAGCGAGATAGTTGTTAAGTGAATTTTGCCCCATTGTATGACCTTTCTTGCCACAGTTGTTAAATCAGCGTGCCTGGCTGAAGAATTCTGGGAGTTGAAGTCCACAAGTCATAAAAGGGCCAAGTTTGAAGACCCCTGTGTTAAATGAATCACTACAGTTGTTAAGTTAGTGACATGGTTGTTGAATCTGGCTTCCCTATTGACTTTGCTTGTCAGAAGGTTGCAAAAGGTTCCCAGAACACGGCAAATAAATGCTAGTTGCCAAGCAATTGAAATTTTATCATATGACCAGGGAGATGCTACAACAGTCGTAAGTGCGATAAATGGTCATAAGTCACTTTTTTCAATGCTGTTGTAACTTTGAACAATCACTAAATGAATGGTTGTAAGTTGAGGACTACCTGTAAAAACAAATTTGTACTAACTTCCCAGAACTCCATATTCCCTTTGCTTTCTAGCTACCAGTTAGGGCAATTTCATCCAGGATGTTTCCCGGACTTAAAAGTGACTTCCAATGAATCTACTAATACATTGTTCCCATAGTCTTCCTTGGTAAGTCAGAAGTCAAGCAGAAATATTGCTTATCTTGCTTTTAGTCTTATAACTTAAAAAAAGAGCCACTTTGCTATCCTGCCCAACAATAGGCAAACATGGGTGAGAATGGGTGGATCCCCCCTTCATACTAAGCTGCGGTTTGATTTAGCCAGTAGTCAGTGGTTGGGTTTGCAAAACATGTTACCACGGTTTCTCAACCTTGACCATTTTAAGATGGGTGGACTTCAACTCCCAGAATTCTACAGCCAGCCATGTTGGCTGTGGAATTTTGGGAGCTGAAGTCCACCTGTCTTAAAATGGCTAAGGTTGAGAAACACTGTTTTAAGCCATAAACCAGGAGCACAACACTACCAGAGGCTTGAGGGACACACCAAGCCTCATGCAGCATATCAAGGGTCATCCTCCAAAAGTGGAGTGAGGGGACCCAGTTTGGGGGGAGATTTCAAAGCTTTTGAGGAGTGAAATCTCTTCTCCACAAGCTTTGAAGAAATAAAAAATTAAAAAGAATTCTCCAACACTTGACCATTGTTTCACAGCTACTAAACAGATGTTGGTGGGCCACAAGTACCCCTGAATCACATTTTTTTTTATATTTCTGCCACAGACTATCATTTGTAAACCTCAGAACCTGGATTCATGTCTTGCTAAACCAACACACAGTTTGTTTGATTTCAGCTCAGCATAATCTGTGCCATTTTCTTCCTCAGAAGCCGAAATTATTTAACCTGTCCTATGTACTTTGACTCCTGAGACGTCTCTATTCTACTAGAGCAGGGTTTCCCGACCTTGGTAACTTTAAGAAATGTGGACTTCAACTCCCAGAATTCCCTAGCTAGCCAGTGTGTCTGGTCCTTTAAACAAGCTCTTGGGCTTCCAAAATTCTCAGGCCAACTTTCCCCAACCTGATGTTCTCCAGACAGACTTCAACTTCTAAAATGATTAACCAGCAGGGGTAAAATACTTAGAGATCATCAGGTTGTTTAACGTTGTCTTGAACCCTTTAAAGAAGCTCCTAACATTGGCTAGCTTTTGCCCAGTGTGACAAGAATGCTCAAAGTTTCATTTTTAATAAAACCAGATCTTGACAAGATGGCAATGACTAGAGAACTCCTGTCTCTGTCTATAGTGTGCCACTACAAATTCCCATAAGTACTTTGTGGTCCATCTAGAGCAGTAGTTCCAACCATGGCAACTTCCAAATGTGTGACTTCAAGTACCAGAATGTTCTTCAGTGGCCATGTTGGCTGAGGAATTTTAGGATCCACAACCAGTGTGGCCAGTGATGAGAATTCTGGGAGTTAAAGTCCACTCATCTGGAAATGGTCAAGACTGGGAAAAGTTGATCTAGAACCACTGTCTCAACCCCTTTTCCCTGCATACCCCAACGGCATAACGGATTATCCCTTTTTTATTGGCAGCTTCTGTTGCCTCTTTAAATGTGGTCCTTCTGTCATTGGAGATGCCATCCGTCAGGACAATGAGCAGTTTCTTGCTGTGAGGGCTCATGCCACGATTTACTGTGAAGACTTTATCCCTTTAAATAGAACCGCAACTGAGTGGGTCTATAAGGCACGTCGTAGACTTATCCCTTCCTCCCTCCCTTCCCTGGTACTCACACCACATGGACAATAGCAGATGGGGTGTAGGTTTCTCCTTTGAAATGACCAAAGTTGTGGATAAGATCTTTAATCTTCTCTCTAGTGTTATTATAGGTCGCGAAATCAAAAACAAGCGTGAATATAGAGGAGTACTGAACCACAGCAAACTGGAGACAGAAAGAGAAAAAAGATGTTTGTGTGTGTTAGTGTATGTAATAAACACACACACATACACACATATACATACATATATACATACTTACATACATACATACACACACAGTATGTATAGGAAATCATGTAGCGGTCAATTATTCTCAACCCACCAGATGTGTTGGACTAATCATTTCCAGGACTCGATGCCAAGTGTAAAAAAAAAAAGATTTAAAGTCATTGCCACAGTAAGTATCAAAGTTGCTTTACAGATTGGCCCCTAACCACATCCTCAAAAGAGAGGGAGGAATACAGGTAGTCCTCAACTTATGACCACAATTGAGCCCAAAATTTCTGTTGCTAAGTGTGATGTTTGTTAAGTGAATTTTGCCCCATTTTATGACCTTTCTTCCAACCGCTGTTAAGTGAATCACTACAGTTGTTAAGTTAGTGACACAGTTGTTAAATGAATCTGGCCTCCCCATTGATTTTTCTTGTCAGAAGTTCGCAAAAGGGGATCACACGACCCCAGGACAGTGAAACCATCATAAATACAAACTGGTTGCCAAGCATCTGAAATTTGATCACCTGATCATGGGGATGCTGCAATGGTCATAAGTGTGAAATATGGTCATAAGACACTTTTTTCATTGCCGTTGTAACTTCAAATGGTCACTAAATGAACTGTTGTAAGTAGAGGAGTACCTATATAGAAGACCACACACGCGCACACACGCACACACATGGACAGGAAGAGCCATGATTGGAGATTAGACTCTGATAGCTTTGAAAATTACCCTTCAGATTTGGGCTCAGAATGTAACTAGCCAATATTGGGTTGCATAGAGCAGGGGTCTGCAACCTTGACGACTTTAAGACTTGTGGACTTCAGCTCCCAGAATTCCACAGTCAGCATAGCTGGCTGAGGAATTCTGGGAGCTGAAGTCCACAAGTCTTAAAATCGTCAAGGTTGCAGACCCCTGGCATAGAGCAGCTCTAAACCAAAAAACGTGTGGCTATTCCATAAAGCGGTTGAAATTGTCAGCCACACAGGCCCCACACGCTTCAAGTGTTGCTCTCACCTGTACATGTGCCCCAGCTACCGAGTCCATCAAGTTCAGGAAGAAGTCCTTCATGATGCGGAGGTCGGGGTCTTTAATGCTCCCAGAATCATTGTATAAAATCACAGCATCCACACCAAAGACGCACTCTGGATGGACAAGAAGGAAGAGAGATTGAATAAACCTAGCAAGTTCCCAGACGTTGGTGAGGAAATTTTTCTGGGTTTCCCATATTTGGCATAGAAATTTAACAAACAAAAAAACAAACAAATAAATATTCTTCACTCATTACAAAGAAAATTGATCTCGCTGCTTGGTAGCAGAATCTAAGGGAAATTTCAGGTATTTAACCCCTTTTTCCATATGATGACTTCCCAAGTGGAAGCTAACATCAACGTCAGCTCAAGTTTATAACAGAATAACAGTGTTGGAAGGGACCTTGGAGATCTTCTAGTCCAGCCCGCTGCTCAGGCAGGAAACCCTATACCATTTCAGACAAGTGGCTGTCCAGTCTTTTCTTAAAAACCTCCAGTGATGGAGCACCCACAACTTATGAGAGCAAGCTGTTCCATTGGTTAACTGTTCTCACTGTGAGGAAATTTCTCCTTATTTTTATATTGGTTCTCTCCTTGATTAGTTTCCATCCATTCCTTCTTGTCCTGCTGTCAGGTGCTCTGGAGAATAGCTTGACCCCGTCTTCTTTGTGACAGCCCCTTAGATATTGGAACACTGCTATCATGTCATTATGACGCTATCATTATGATACTGGTCGATTAAAATCAGGGATATTTTATCTTCTATCCTAACTCATAATTACATTTCTGCAAGCCATGTCCAAGATACAGCCTGGAGGGACGTGTTACCATTCTCCCTGTTTATCTGTGCATGATGGTCCCCTAAAGTCCACTATATGTGGTAGGTATAGAACTGGTGAAGACTTTTAAGATTTGCATTTCAAAGACTACTTGATACCTTCCAAAGTCATTCAAAAAACCCCAAAACTTTTGGAAGGAGATGTTTCAGCGGTGAAGAGATTCACATACAGGTAGTCCTCGACTTACACTCTTTCATTTAGTGACTGTCTGAAGTTACAGAGCCGTGGTGGCGCAGTGGTTAGAATGTAGTACTGCAAGCTAACTCACTGCTCACTCCAGGAGTTCGATTCTCACCGGCTCAAGGTTGTCTCAGCCTTCCATCCTTCCAAGGAGGAGCCAGATTGTTGGGGGCAATTTGCTGACTCTGTATAGTGCTTAGAGAGGGCTGTAAAGCACTGTGAAGCAGTATATAAGTCTAAGTGCTATCGCTATTGCTACAACAGCACTGAAAAAAATGACTTGGAACCAGTCCTCAAACTTACGACCGCCATGGTATCCCCACAGTCACGTGATCAAAATTCAGGCATTAATTTGTGACAGTTAAGCATTCCAGGGTCACGTGATTGCCATTTGCAACCATTTCCCAGCTGGCTTCCGATAAGCAAAGTCAATGGGGGAAACTGGATTTGCTTGACTGCCTGGTTCATTTAACATCAGCAGCTGTCAGAATCCAATTATATTTCATTTCTAGTTATCGACTATGGAAAACCCCATTTCTGCTCTCTCTGGATTCTGTCATACTACGAAGGGGACGGGGGATGAGCAAAGGGGTTTTATGGCTCTCACTTCCTTCATTAAACTTCAAAGGGACTGAATGTGGATTCTCACCAAGAGGACTGACCATAACAATATGGCCATAACCTTTCATCTACTCCTCACTGAAGTCTCCCTTTTGCCTGCAGTAAGGGAAAAGGGGGGGGGGGGACAATGCAGCGCCTGGAGTCTGGGAAAAGAGAGAAGGAGGATCGTCGCCCGGAAGAACAGTGGGGTGGGGGGCTGCTTGAAAACACTTAAAACATTGAAGGGTGGGAGAGAATTCCTCAGATCCTGTCTAGTACGCCTACAATCATTTTCTCTTAATAAATATGCCTGTTGGAAAAGATATTCCAAGAGTTCTGTATTCTTAAGATGTAAAGTGAGGTGGGTCCTTACAGCAGCGATTAACTTAACAACTGAGGCAAAAAAAGGTTTGTAAAACTGTGTACAACTCCGTTAACAGCTACCTTGCCAAGCAATGGAAAATATGGTCTCAGTCACGGTTGTACTTTCAGAACTACCTGTAATGAATCTCTATCTCTAAAGTAATACTTAAATACCACAAGGAACATTTCTAACACCTTGCAGTAGCCCCAAGCAGCATTGTGAATGATGGGAGTTGTAGACTGTGTATATTTGAAAGGCCAAGTAGACCACTCCTAGATAGACACCAAAGAAAAATGTGAAGTAATCTTTGCTGAAGCAGAATTGCATGCTTAATTCATCTCCTTTATTTCTTTGACTACAGCTAATCCTCGACTTATAACAGTTCATTTAGTGACCATTCATAGTTACAACAGCACTGAAAAAAGTGACTTTACAACTGTTTTTCACACTTACGACCGTTGCAGCATCCCCATGGTCAAAATTCAGAGGCTTGGCAACTGACACATATTTATGACGGTTGCAATGTCAGGTGATCCCCTTTTGTGACCTTTTGACAAGCAAAGGCAATGGGGAAGTCAGATTCACTTAACAACCACGTGTTACTAACTTAACAACTGCAGTGATTCACTTAACAACTGTGGCAAGAAAGGTTGTAAATGGGGCACTTAACAACTTTCTCGCTTGGCAACAGGAATTTTTGACTCAATTGTGGGCTGTAGGTTGAGGATTACCTGGTTTCTTATCATGGTTGGTTTGAGTAGGAACCAGAGTGAGATAGCTACCTCTAGTAATAAATTGTGGGTGTCACAAGAGGTCACCGATAATTATTTAATGTGCTATCATTGTCATTTTTACTCTCAAGGAGAAGAAGAATTCCTTGCAGAATATTTTGCCTTGGCTAGCTTGTGAGAGAGTTGGGTGCCATTTTTAAAATCTCTCAAGTAACAAAGATCTTGGCACAATCTAGCTTTCAAACCTAATGTGTAAATGTGATCTTCTCATTTGACCTTGGAAAGCTGGCTGGATCTTCTTCACATTTCCATCGAAGTCATTCAGAATATAGCAGATGCCGTTCAGATAATCGAGTTGCCCACAGCATCGTTCCCAGGTGGGACCACAGGCCTGTGTGTAGGAGGAGTCAACACAAATAGCTCTTGTAATCTTCAGCAGAGTCAACAAGAATTCTCCATTATACCCCCAGAGCAGCTAAGCCTCTCTGAGCAATGGGCTTACAGTCTCTGCAAACCAACATAGATTCTAGGATTCATACTAATATTTTTATTGTGCTTAGTTTGTCTTTTTAAATTCTGCTTGAGTCTTACTTACCATTATTTTGGATTCAGATGCTTCATCAGCAGCCAACGAAACACCCAAGGATATTCTAGGAATGTCTTTGGCATCTGAAAAAATAGAGCAGGGGGTTGGACTAGAAGACCTCCAAGGTCCCTTTCAACTCTGTTATTCTGTTATTCTACTTGTCTCTATTTCACAGACTTATCACATTCACACACACACGTCTAACCAAGATAGCCTTTAAAAAATAAAGAATATCTCCTGATGGATTTTGTTGGTCTTATTTGTGGCTCAAATGCATTCTGCAACTTTGTCTGGCTAAGAGATTTTGGAAGGAATGTGCAGAGCAGACGCGAGGACCCACACCCACATGTGCACTGCAGTGCATTAATGTCAGAAATTGCTCAAATCAAATGCTAATGCCTAAGAATGTACTTTCTAAAAATGATTTTACTATTATATTTCTAATCTGACCAATAACTGACATTCTCCAAATTGATTGTAAAGGTAGCAAAAATATATACAGAAAAAATTAAAACAGAAATAACAATGTGTGGTTAATTAATAGCACAGGAAATAATCATAAAAATCATTGTGTCCTACTTCCTGTGAGAGCATCTAGTAGTCTTTCCTATTTTTTGAAATTTATTCCCACCATAAGATCATATTACAATAATTCCCTGTCCTTGGAGGAGAGGAGACTGAGAAAATTAGACTTGGAGTCCTAATAGAATTACCTCATAAAATACAATTCCTAAGACTACAGTTAGACTGGATTCCTAAATTGCAATAATTCATTTTTTTACTTAATCATGGTTTGGTGACAAATCACGATAAACTGGGCTCACTGACCTGCTAATCTATAATATAGAAACTAAAATACTTTCATGTAATATGCTAACAAAAATCAAACTATATTATGGCTTAGGGACCTATGTGAACCCAGTAACTTATGTAAAACCAGTTTAAGCTGTCAATGCCAGTGTACTCTAAGAAACTCTCTTTTCTTAAAATAAAATGGAAAAAAAATCCATATGTGGGAAAATCACAAATGTATTTTAGTTTGCACTTACGGTTGAGGACAATTGGTTGGCATTTCTGTGTATCGTATGAGCATCGGAAAAGGGAACCTGTCCGATTGCTTGCAAAGGGAGCGCTCACTACCAACCTAAAGGGATGTGAAATAATGTTTTAGAATTAATATTTAAATATTATTTTAGAATTAATAGTTGAGACCTGCAGATCACTTCAACAAAAACAGCGATCAATGTTCTTAACGTAATCAGCTCCAGCCTCACCAGGAAGTGCCACCGGATCTTGTCTGGATAACGCGATAGCCAAACTGGTCAGTTTTCTCCCCGAGGAAAATCACAGGAGCCTCAAAATCGAAGAGGCTGAAAGCTGAAAAGCACGGAAGGCCTACAAGAGAGGAAGGCAGCAGAGAATCAATGCTCTTGAACAGGGGTCTTCAAACTTCAAACAGCGTGCCTAGCTGAGGAATTCTGGGAGTTGAAGTCCACAAGTCATAAAAGGACCAAGTTTGGAGACACCTGCTCCTGAACATCTATTTTTCAAAAAGGAGCAGGAGAAGCCCGATGACAGTAATGGAGGTAGGATAGTGAATTATTCCTATACAGATAGTCCTCAGTGTACAACCACAATTGGATCGGAACGTCTGTCATTAAGGAAGTCATGCCTGATCTTATGACCTTTTTTGCCGCAGTTGTTAAGCAAATCACTGTAGTTGTTAAGCGAATCCAGCTTCTCCCTTTGACTTTGCTTGTAGGAAGTCAGCTGGAAAGGTCGCAAATGGCGCTCATGTGACCCAGGGGAGCTGCAAGCATCCTAAAGAGCAGGTGGTGGCGCTGTGGTTAGAATGCAGTATTGCGGGCTAATTCTGCTGACTGCCAGCAGTTCGATTCTCACTGGCTCAAGGTTGACTCACCCTTCCATCCTTCTGAGGTCAGTAAAATGAGGATACAGATTTTGGGGGGCAATATGATGAGTCTGTAAACTGCTTAGAGAGGGCTGTAAAGCACTGTGAGGCAGTATATAAGTCTAAGTGCTATTGCTATTGCTATGTACCTGATTCTGTAATAGCCTTGTTTCCTATGCCATCTGTCTGGTAAACTCGCAAGATTCGTTTTTCTCGCTATGTACATGTATACATAACCCGAACTAGACTGTTGCTTCTCTGTGACATATAATATATGTGGGTATATGCATAATTCTGTATTTATTTTTGTCATATTTATGTAGTGTATATCGCAGGTGGCGACACTTTGAGAGCTGAATGCAACGAAATTTCATTTTAATGTACATTCAAAGTGACAATAAAGTTATTATAATTATTCTATTCTATTGCTAAATATATGCCAGGAGAAATTTCCTGACAGTTAGAACAATGAATCAGTGGAACAACTTGCCTCAGGAAGTTGTGGGTGCTCCAACACTGGAGGTTTTTAAGAAAAGACTGGACAGCCACTTGTCTGAAATGGTATGGGGCCTCCTACTTAAGCAGGGGGTTCGACTAGAAGACCCCCAACATCCCTTCCAACTGTGCCAGATGCCAAGCACCCATATTTTGATTATGTGACTATGGGGATGCCTCGATAGTCCTAAGTGTGAGGATCAGTTGTTAGTCACTTTTTTCAATGCTGTTGTAACTTCAAATGGCCGCTAAACGAATGATCGTAAGTTGAGGGCTACCTGTAATGACATAGTAAAAATAGCAAAGGCTGTCTGAAAGCAGAAGCACGAAAATGAACTGCGGGCACCACCAGCTGAAAAATCGGTGTGTTGCATAAACATGCCGAGAGGCATCTTTAGATTGGACTGTCCTGAAAATGATGTTCAGCTGGTCCTCGACTTACAACAGTTCATTTAGTGACCATTCGAAGTTACAACAGAGAAAAGTGACTTATAACCATTTTTCAGACTTACAACTATTGCAGCATCCCCAGGGTCACATGATCAAAAGTCAGATGCTTGTCAACTGGTTCGTAATTATGACAGTCGCAGTGTCCCAAGATCATGTGATCCCCTTTTGCAACCTTCTGACAAGCAAAGTCAATGGGGAAGCCAGATTCACTTAACAACCGTGTTACTAACTTAACAACTGCAGTGATTCACTTAACAACTATAGCGGGAAAGGTCATAAAATGGGGCAAAATTCATTTAACAAATGTCTCGCTTAGCAACATAAATTTTGGGCTCAATTGTATAAGTCAGTGATGGCGAACCTTTTAGAGACCGAGTGCCCAAAACCTGCCCCCCCCCGCCCCCGCTCCGCCTCCCGCCCTACCTGCTCCGCCCCCACCCGCTCTCTGCCCCACCCGCACGCAGGGCCACCCACCGCCTCCATGGCCCGTCGCAGATCGCCCAGGCGGCCCTGCAGCGCCATGGCAGCCACGCCCTCCGCCCACACCCTGCAACATCATCTGTGCACGACGGGGCGCGAGGACGGAGTCTTGTCCCTGCTGCCCGGCTGCCATGTCCTTGGCTGCGCTGCTCCATGCGGGCCGTACCCAGGGGCAACTCTCCTCCGGGGGGGCTGCTGGTGAGGAGGGGGCTGCAGGGGGCCGCGGGGCTGGGGCGATAGCACGTGTGCCCACATAAAGGGCTCTGAGTGCCACCTCTGGCACGTGTGCCATAGGTTCGCCACCACTGGTATAAGTTGAGGACTACCTGTATATCATTGGGCGGAAACATTACCTATTTTGCTTAATCTGTATTGGTCACTGAATGCTAACCTTGCTTGCTCTACTGAACCAGCATTAGCTGCTCTTCTGATTCAATCTGTGGCCATTTCAGAGAGCTAGTCAGCCGGGTAAAACCCATAAACCAGAACAAGGAGTTGCCAAACAAATAACCTTTACTCTAGCTCCATGAGTGTTAACATGAAAAGATAATTCACCGAGGTTGAATAATAATTATTTCCTTCCTTTGGCAACTTCCATGCAATGAGATTTTGTGGTATGTCATGGTGATGAGGTCACCAGCATTTTGAAGTGGAAGATACAGATATCAAGGTGACTACTTGATATATAGCTACATGTGATTCGTAAAATAAGTGGCAGCCAACTTATTGTGTCTGCTTTTGGACCTCCAATATGGATTTGTCCACTGTAAGAATATTCAGCTAAATACCGTATTTTTCGCACCATAAGACGCACCTGACCATAAGACGCACATAGTTTTTAGACGAGGAAAACAAGAAAAAAAATATTCTATCTAAAATGAAGATAACACTGCATATATCCTTTTTTACCTTTAATATATATATATATATATATATATATATATATATATATATATATATATATATATATATATATATATATATATATATATATATATATATATTT